CTGATCATTTAAGTATATATAAAAAACTACAATACATTAACTATTATGAAAAATTGATGAGTCAAATTCAAAAGGCAAACTCGATTCTCGCGAACAGTGAATAATTTAGCGGACAACTTTGACATGTAAATACATTGCTAGATCGAAAAGCCTTGATCTTTTTCAAGGTGCCAGTATAGATTAAGAAAAACTAAGCCTGCTCTATAATTTATACTGAAATAAGAGTATCTAATAAAAGCTTCATTATTTATTCATCTACGACTCCAAGAAATCTTTCAAGAAAGACTGCCCATGTCGACATTTACCATCAAATGTTTATGAAATTGCAACTGCTTAATTGCGAAAAGTAAAGCTGTTCTTGTAACTTAAATGTTCCAGAATAGCTTGGAAACAATATGCTGACTTGAAAAGTAAAAAAGTGTTTTAGCAATAATCTAGATTTGCAGCACTCGGGAGGTAAAAATTACAAGTATTCGAGTTACGTTTTTATCTCAGAAAATCGAAGTCTTTTGCCGGCCTTTGTCATTACATGGGCTTCTGGGCTTCTGGAATAAGCATCTCCATCAAAATGGGACCTTAAAAAGTATCTATCAAATGGATCCACCCCTCGAAAAAGTTCTTAAGTTGAGCGTAGACTTTTCCTTTACCTCCTCCCGTGCTATCTTTAGAATTCACGCGCGTTCACGGCAGCTTGTTGCGCATGCACAGTGGCACTTACACTCACCAACGTGCGTTGACATTACGACCAAATTTTCTCGGCTTAACAAGTCACCAGGCAGTGACCGCGCGCTTCGAGTTCCGCTATGGGAAGACGATAAAAGTCGTCTCACGTCAGAACATTATAAAGAGCCTTTACCCTTTAATTAGAAATGGAAACAGTACATTACTGCTCTTTATTTCAGTAGTCACTAATGACCAAAGGACCCGTCATTGTTTATCGCCCGGGGATGGAGGAATTTGGGGGGAAAGGATCGCATGGTTTTCAGGGGGAATGGAGAGGGGATCTGTCGTCTCTTACAAATTTTAAATAAAAACTTGACCCCCTAATTCCTCTGACACCCCCCCCTCCTCAACTCCACCCGAGCGATAGATAATGACTGCCCCCTAATAAACCAAGAAACTAAGGAAATTGAAACAAGTGTTTTTCTAATTCATGGAGTTACTGTGACAATGACAACACATCCTTTTCCGTGCAGAAGAAAAAACACTTTTTATGCATCACATTTACTGCACAAACACTTCGATCCTCATACAAGATTACTGAGAAAAGGTGACAATAAAAGCGAATGCATCTTGCTTAGACTTGACTTACGAACCAGATACCTCGATGGGAATTTATGATTCGTCAACGATATATGGTTAAGCTGAGTGAAAATGAATTCTCGCTGAGCTGCTATAATGTACTTTCCAAGTATTCTGTAAATTTGTCAAAAACTCGCGATAATTGCTAGCATTGTTATTTTTCACTGTGCGTAGCTTCAAGAGTATTGAGGCATTAAGCGATTTTATGTTTGTTTGACTGTGTGAAATTTTTTCCGTGCTGTATTGATTACTGTGTCCATGGAAAAGCTCCGTAAATTGCTGTGTTATTACCATGGCTTGGAAGCGGTAATCAAAGGAACTTTTGACTGTGGGACACGGCACATCTGAACTTTAAAATCCCTGCCAGAACCAGGTTAGATTTAGCAACATCAAAGAGTATTTGCGACCCTCCAAAATTAATCGAAATGAAGATAATAAGCCCAATAAAGGCCGGATGAAAATATTCGCTATGAGTTTTTCCTGTTTATATAAGAGAACCTTATCAAAGTAAAAATAGTGGACCTGCAGCCACAGCACACCTCGCCTTCTTGCAAATATTTTGGCAAACAGTATAGTGCAAATCCATTGTTTCCAAAACATTTTTACGGAAAGAATGTCATCTGATGTTCCTTGAGTTCACTAGCACAAGAACAAATTCATTTTCCGGTTTTCCGCATAACGCTGTTCCATACCATTTCGAAGCCCGTGTTTCTGGGACACTTTTATAACTCATTTCCCTAACATGTTAATTCAACTACTTAAAAACTTATTCATAACGGGAAAGGAATTGAGGTTTATTCACGATTAATTCGGCAATGAAACTTAGCACATCAGATGTAATATTATAGCATTCAAGAAATTATTTAATTCCTTACAGTATCTTGCGATTTAATATGGCCACATTGGAATATTCCTTGCTAAAATGATGTTAGGTTGGTAATTGAACATGACAATACCACACAATCAAGGAGGTAATTGTTATCAAACGAAAAGCATTTTACTGTTCCTTTCCCAAAGTCTCTTTAGGCTCCGCTCCCGAGATGCCTGCCGAGTCTTGTGATGAGATCAAAGCCAGCGAACAAGGGATGGCAGTCAGCGGTAGATATTGGCTGGAGCCCCAGGAGGCAAAAATGAAATCCAAGAACTTTCTAGTAACTTAATTATTATTCTTCATTTCTGAACAATTCAAGAAAAAAATAGATTTGTACCGTTAAAAAATAAGAATGTTTGGAATTCATAATTCCTTTCTTATAGACAGTTCACGTAAAAGCAAGTTTGGATCATAAAATGCAAGTTTGCATGGAATTCTTTATTTATTTGCAGGTTTATTGTGACATGGTATCAGATGATGAGGTCTGGACTCTCCTCGCTCGGTTTTCAAACAGTGACACTAAATACTGGATGGATGACTTAGGAGACTGGTGGTATGACAGTGCTCAAGCTGCAGGAGAAACCACTGACCCGTCACACAACCCAGACATGATATCACCAGCGTTCTGGCTGGTCAGTGGCAGAGAGCTTAAGATCACGCGCAATGATGACTCTGGACACACTCCTCTATTGCAAACCACAGGGAACTGTCTGAGTTCCAAAATTACTAGTTATGGCAACTTCAGGGTTCAGTCTGGTCTAAGGGTGAGTGCCTTGGAAAATGAAAAGTTAAATATGGAGGACAATACCTGACAACTGAGGGCTTCGGACAGGCTTCATGCAGTGGTGACCTGCAAGGTGCTGATGAGGTCGGCTTCTGGTGTAACAAGGGCTGGAGTGGTTCTGTGATCATGATTGGAGGAGGTGGAACTAGTTGTTCAGGTGCCGATCACGGAATTGGGACAACGGTGGCGAAACTTGCCTCTTTTACAATCAAAGAAGATAACAGGAGAGAATCTGACTTTAGTAACGACGCATGGGGTTCGATAACTAAAAGTTACTCGTTGAATTTGTGGATTCGTTAAAGCATGCATCCTTTTTAAAATCGTGACGCGTGAAATGCTGTTTAAAATGCTGTTTGAAGCGTGAATTTTTCCAAACTTCGCGCATGAAACGTGATCAGAACTACTCTCCACGTACAGTTGTCTTAAATCCGAATTGCCTTTCGATGTATTGAGATAAATACGTGCTATTTTTAGTTTTTTTTTGTTTCGTTTTGCTTTGTTTTGTTTTCCAGATGCATGAATTCAAACTTAAAATGATTTTGTGTTTATTCAACAAAGTGAAAGTGTAAGTAGTTTTATAAAAGGTTTCATTCATTGTTGTGCATCTAGTTTTAAAGAAGAACGAACGTGTACATAGTTATAATAGAACCTGCTTTGATGTTGATTGATCAATGTGTTCAGCTTTAGGCATCTAGGTCTTTGGGATCATTTTCAGGACGTTAACCTTGAGTAATTGTTGGCTTGGTTTTAAACTGGCTGTCGTCACCCTCCATAAATAAAGTTGACACACACATACATAATGACAAATAAATCTTATTTCCCAGTAACAGAAGAAATGTATCAGGTGGCAGCCAAACGCATGCGCAAAAAACACCTAGTCGACAAGAATTAAAATGGCTTACGCAGGGAGACAATATCTGTAATATATTAAGTACCCTCTAGGGTTACTGTGTATGTACCCAGAATACATTGCTGGAATAAAGTTGTGTTGAAGCGGCCATGTTGTTTGACCTCGTGGGTTTATATCACTAGCAATATATTACATTTTGGCGACGAGGATCGGTCGTTTTTCCACGTCATTCAAAAGTGCAAGGTCTTTGGACAACGCTGTGTGTGTTGTGGCATAGAAGATGGCCAGCACTAGTGCGAGTGGATTATTTGGACGTGTTGGCGAGTTCAACGTCGCACGTGAAACGTTTAGTGCCTACGTCGAGAGGATGGAAATGTTCTTTACAGCCAACAACATTGTAACGACAACAGGAGAGGGAAGTGCTGCCACCAACCTTGTGGTAGCGAACAGGAAACGTGCCATTTTCCTGACAGAATTGGGGCCGGAGGTATACACAACCCTCAGCAACTTATTGGCGCCCACTAAACCGAAGGACGTGTCATTCACTAACATTGTGGAAGTCTTGGAGAAACACTACAACCCGAAGCCTCTGGAAATCGCACAAAGTTTTCACTTTGGCACGCGAAATCAAAAATCCGAAGAATCAGTTAGCGATTATGTGCTGGCTTTGAAGAGATTGGCGGTCCACTGTAATTATGGTGAATTCCTCAATCGGGCGTTACGTGACCGATTCGTATGCGGACTGAACAATCCGAAGATACAAAACAAACTACTGAACACAGATGACCTCACATTCGAAAAGGCTTGCAGTATTGCCAAGACCATGGAGATGGCAGACAGGAACACCCAAGAATTTCACTCTTCACGCAGTGAAACTGTTCAAGTAAACAAGTTGACAGAACAAGGAAGTAAAAACACTGAAAAGAAGAACACTGAACAATTGTCATTTCCTAGGTGTGGGGGTAATCATTCAGGTCAGTCTTGTAAATTTAAGTCAGCAAAATGCTACAAGTGCTCCAAGATTGGGCATTTAGCTTCTGTTTGTCGCAATAAGGATGAAAAGAAAAAGGGTAAAATTCATAGTGTACAGGCTTCAGAATCAGGCAATGATGAGTGTGAGGATGAGGAAAGGAATTTATTCTCTGAATTCGCTTGACCAAAACAAGCCTAATTGCAATAGGTACACTGTAGAAATGGAAATCAATGGTAAACTGTGTATGATGGAGTTAGACACAGCTGCAGATTTCTCAATAATGAGTAGAAGTGAATATCTAGAGAGGTTTGCAGACAAGCCTCTGTCTCCTTCTAAAGTAACACTTAAGACATACACGGGTGAATTACTTGATGTGTCAGGGGAAATGCAGTGTGACATAGTGTATAAGGGTAAACCATACTCTCTACCCATTCTTGTAGCCAATTATGATGCAAAACCTACTTTACTTGGTAAAAACTGGCTGCGGCACATTAAGTTTGAGTGGGGTGAGATATTTTGTATTCCCAAGGGAGACCCTAGGAGTGCTGATAGTCAACTAAATGAGTTGCTATCTAAACATAGCGAATTGTTTACTGAGGGTTACAAAGGTATGACGGGCCTTGAGGCCCATATTACTATGAGAGGCGATGCAAAACCTGTATTCGTGAAAGCGCGTAGGGTTCCATACGCTTTAAAAGAGCAAGTCGAAAAAGAGTTAGACAAACTAGAAAGGCATGGTGTGATTAAGAAAGTTGACAGGTCACTTTGGGCTAGCCCAATTGTGGTAGTGCCAAAGGCTGATAACACTGTCAGAATATGTGGAGACTACAAATCCACTATCAATCAGTCAGTTGAAAATGAGCAATATGTTTTACCTACTACTCAGGATTTGTATGCTGCTCTGGTTGGCTCTAAGGTATTTAGTAAGCTTGATCTATCACATGCCTATGCCCAGCTGAATGTTGACAAAGAAAGTCAAGAGTACTTGACAATTACCACTCATAAAGGCCTTTATTCCTACCAGAAATTGCCCTATGGGGTCAAGTCATCCCAAAAAATCTTTCAAGCAAAAATGGATCAAATTCTTCAGGGAATTGAAAAATGTGTTTGTAAACAAGATGACATCTTGATAGGGGGCAATGACAGGCAAGAGAATCTCAAGATACTTGCTGATGTGTTGGACAGGCTACACCAATACAATTTGCATTTAAAACTGGCAAAATGCGAGTTTTTGAAACCTGAAGTGGTTTATCTAGGTCTGAGAATAAGTGCCGAAGGCCTGCAACCGGTGGAGGAGAAGATCAGTGCAGTGAAAAGAGCCCCAGCCCCAAAGAATGTGAGTGAATTAAGGTCCTTCCTGGGCATGGTTCAGTATTATCGTTCCTTTTTGCCAGGGCTGGCTACAACCTTAGCACCTCTGCATAGGCTTTTGCAGAAAAATATTCAATGGGAATGGACAGATGACTGCCAGAAAGCTTTCGAGGCATGCAAGGAGGGCCTCACCAGTGAGTCGCTGTTGATCCACTATGATCTAAATCGTGAGCTTAAGTTAGCTTGTGACGCATCGAGTTATGGTTTGGGGGCAGTGCTTAGTCATGTAATGGAAGATGGTCAAGAAAGGCCAATAGCATATGCGTCACGTACCCTCAGCTCAAGTGAGAAATATTATGCTCAAATTGAACGGGAGGCCTTGTCTATTATTTTCGGGGTAAAAAAATTTAATCAGTTTCTATATGGACGAAAGTTCACTTTAGTAACTGACCACCAGCCATTGTTGGCTATTTTGGGCCCAAAAGCTGCTATACCCACACTTGCAGCTGCCCGTATGCAGCGCTGGGCACTTGTCCTTTCAGCATATGACTATAACATTGAGTACAGGAGCTCCGAGAAGCACAGCAACTGTGACGCCCTCTCTAGATTACCCCATGAAGAGTCTAAGATTGGCAGTGAGAGTGAGATTTACAATGTAAGTGCCATTGACAAAGATTTCCCTATAACTGCAAAAGAGATTGGGAAAGCTACATTGATGGATCCAGGGTTAAGCAAGGTACTTGATTGGGTCATGGTGGGGTGGCCAGAGGTTTGTGATGAAGATTTAAAACCCTATTACACCCGTCGACATGAACTTTCCTGCGAACAAAATTGCATTCTCTGGGGTTCAAGGGTGATCATTCCCCCAGTATTTAGGGAAAAGATGTTGGAGGAGTTACATTGGGAGCACCCAGGCATTTGTGCAATGAAAGCAATAGCACGCACCTGTGTTTGGTGGCCCAAGATGGATGAGGAAATTGAACAAAAGATTAAACTATGCTCAGTGTGTCAGGATGTGCGGACCTCTCCACCTTGTGCCCCATTGATACCCTGGAAATGGGCCACACGACCCTTTCAGCGTATTCATCTTGATTTTTGTCAGAAAGGGAGTGATTTTTTTTTGTGGTGGTTGATAGTTTTTCAAAATGGATAGAGGTTAAGCACATGACCTCAATCACCACAGAGAAAACCATAAATGAGTTGCGTCTTATATTTGCCCAACATGGTTTGCCCGAGGAGTTGGTATCAGATAATGGGCCACAATTTGTTTCAAGTGAGTTTGCTGAGTTTATGTATAAAAATAGCATTAAACATACCCTAACTCCTCCTTATCATCCACAATCAAATGGTGCTGCTGAGAGATCAGTCAGGGTGTTAAAGGAGGCGCTTGTCAAACAAGTTCTAGAGGGAAACAAGGGAAGGTCTATCAAACATAGACTAGCAGACTTCCTCTTGAGATACCGTACCACCCCACACAGCACCACAGGTGCTACGCCAGCAGAACTGTTGATGAGACGTAGACTGCGTACTCGTTTAACTTTAGTGAAACCTGATCTAGCCAAAACCGTAGAGAGTAAACAAAATAAGCAGAAGGAATATAAGGATTTAAAGGGTCATCAAGATAGGCTGTTTGCAGAGAATGACATAGTTCGAGTGAGAAATACTCAAGCCCGTAGCAATACTGAGAGGTGGATTCTGGGAAGGGTAGTTAAGGTCTGTGGACCCAGAACATATTTAGTTAGGACTGGCTATAAGACCAGATATGTTCATGTTGATCATTTAATTAAAGCACATGATCAGGTGCCACATGAAACTAGAGAGTTGGACATACCTGTCCCAGAACTGTGTGAGCAACCTATTCTAAGTGTAGATAATAGCCAAGTTTCATCCGGAGTGCCGCAGCCACCAGTCAATTTTTCAGATAAAGATAATGAGCCTAATTCTAGTATTAGTGAAGAGAATGTAAACACACCATCGCCGGTTGTTCTGAGGCGATCAGAGAGAATTAGGAAACCTGTTGACCGACTGAACCTGTAGTGAATGTTATAGCTACTATTGTTTTACTTGTAAGGATATCTTATTTGTAAGGGGAAAGCAGTGTAATATATTAAGTACCCTCTAGGGTTACTGTGTATGTACCCAGAATACATTGCTGGAATAAAGTTGTGTTGAAGCGGCCATGTTGTTTGACCTCGTGGGTTTATATCACTAGCAATATATTACAATATCTTTCCATATTTATTTTAAAAATTTGGAAGCCCTCTCCTTCCAATTGAGTATTCTTCTGCAAGTTTGCCCCTCAGATGGAGAGGATGAAACGAAAAGAAAGAAAAACCAGCTACAGTACGGTACATCATTCTATGCTAAGGCCCTACCATAGACTTCATTTTGAATTGTGTTCATTACTTCATGTGATAAGGCAAAAAATTCTGACCTTTGTGCTCATCCCTATATATTCGATCAGCAGACAATAGCGAGAATTTAGGAACAGAAGCAAACCTAGTAGGGGAGACAGGGTTTTAATTCAAAAAGTTATTGTCTCAGAATAGAGTGGGTGAGAGAGTTTTCTTTCCATACCTAAACCTCGTAGTCTGACTTACCTCATACCATGAGGTAAAAAGGTAGCTTAATTAAAAAAAACAAACCAACAAACAAAATAAATCATAATTTTGAGCATAATTTAGAAAAACTGAGCGATAGTAGCATAATATGCTACTTTTACTGGCACAATCCATAAGGTCCCACTGGTGTTAGCTTGTACCTCAGTTTTTCATTGTATCTTGGGGTTAGTAGTCTCTAACTACTAATCTCTAAAAAGAGATGATGTTGTCGAGCGTTTAGAAATGAAGGGGAAGGGAAGGAAGCCGTCTTGGCATATGGAAGACTAAACTATCAGCCGTTTTCTTTCCTTAGTTTTCTGACTCTTTAACGTTTGGCGATGAACACAATTAACATCCCATGAAGCCTGTGATTGAACTGAACGAAGACATTATAATATTTTTGACTTGGGGAGTTTTAAAAAAGAAATGTATCGCTACAATTGATAATGAATGAACATTTCACCGTATCAGTCCCTATGGGGACGATACTGATCTACGAATTTGACTTCATCTGTCTGATGAGTAAATGGTTATGTATTTCCATCCGAAGAGATCAACAGATGGGATACTCAAAACTAGCTTCCGGCGTGTAAATATTAAGTCGTATAAGATAACCATCGTTGAACGAGATTCAGTATGAGGAGCCATTTGTGCCAAAAATATCAATCGCTAGAGATAAAACTCAGTAGTTAATGCTAAAATATCAATCGCTTGAGATAAACTCAACCGTTAGTGCTAGCAACAAATCATAGCTGTAGATCAATTTAGTTTCCGTTCTAAAATGGTCAGTCGTTCGTGCTAAACCTCAATCGCTTGTGTTTTGCACCAAACACCATTGTTAAATCACCAATTATAAATTGCTGGTGTTCCGAGGCAGTTCGATAGCGCCAGATATAAATCCTATGTTTAAATGTCAATTGATATTGTAAAACTTTTATGACTTGTGCTATTTTCAAATTCAGCAATCATAAGGATGACAGTAGTCTGTGATGCCACCGATCGTTTGTGAAAATAAGAAATCGCTATCGCAAAACCTCAATCTTAAGTGCTAGTATAGATTTGTTATCGATTCTAACTTAAAACAGTGTTTTTAATAAATAATTATTGTCGGAAAAGTTATTGTAAATCTAAAATACAATTAAAACTTCTGATTGGATCAACGTCTCCACAAATAATCTATTGAAAACCCAAAAAATAATTTGCAATGCAATACTCTTTGTAAAATTCAGAAATATGTTTGAAATCGCGAAAAATGACCAAGGTGATCGTGTCCTATTGATGCCTTGAGGTGGACAGCGAGACGGCATCCTCAAACACATTTATTTATTAACTACAGGCTCACCAGTCATGCAGCATGGGATTTATATAAAAAACTACGATTCAACATATTTTTCTGGGTGCAAAAACATTTTTGGGTCTCCCTTGTCGGCTTACTACTTCCTGGCTCGTGATAAATACATGTTTTATGTAACTATTAAACTTCAATGTTTTGACGTAAAACTTCAAAGGTAGAAAAGGTTGTGGTTATTCATCGTGGTGAAAAACAATAAAATCTCAGTTTTTCGTTTATCTCACGATGTAGTCACGTGTGATGTAGATCGCGACCTTTCGACTTCATACTGCTAGTCTTCTTCAGGCGATGAGGTCGACTGGTCATGCGTGATCTTATAAAGCATGATGCTCTGAAGTGATCAGTTGTTTTTCAACAGCTCTGATTGGTGCATTTCGATCCTTGCTGATCACTCAGTGATTTGCTCCCTCGGCGGTCCGCTGTCGCACGGCTCTCCTGTTGTTGTGTTTTTTGATCATGGGCATTCACGCTTCTGGAATTTCTATTCCACTATCCCTGTTGATGTTGCTAGGGTGAAGTCTTATGTGAATTACCTCTTTGACCCTATGCGTGTAGTAACAAGGGTCACGATAAATAAACTTTCGTAGTCTGCGACTTGAAAACAGCGCGTACGCCTCGTTGTTGTAGGCAATGGCGAAGCTGTTCCCACAGACCTTTGACATAAGCTAAAACCGCATTAGCCTTAAACTCGATGGAGGGTTCGGTACTGTTGTTTGGTTTTTCGGTCCTGGTAAGTTTCTGCAAGAACTTTTCAAACACCTTCATAAGGTGTTACTTTTCAATACCAGCAAGTCTTTAACCGACTGTAAATATCAACAAAAATTTTCCAACGGAAGCTGTAATTTAAGTTTTCGGTAATGTTGTGTTCCTTGTCGATACCGGTATCGGTCGAGCTCTGCGAGATCGAACTCATAGACGCCAGACTTGAGAAATCTGCCTTTGTTTGTTAGCTACAAACACCATTCCAGACAACAATTAATATGCGCGAGGACCGTCTCAAATTGTAGGGATGCAATCGGCGGCAACTTGAACACGTCTCCCACTGATCTTACAAATATTACCCATTCCCACTTTATCATTTTCATAAAGACTCAACTCGAGCACATGGAAAATGGCGACGTCTGCTCCAAACAGTGCTATAAGAAGATTGCTAGAGTTAGTTGGTATTGGAAATGACCTTATTCAGAACTTTGAAGAGCAGGACATTACCGCAGAAATAGTTCCTATCCTATCTAATGCACAACTGATTCAACTTGGCTTAACAACGATAGCAACTACCGGTAGTTCGTTCTATTTGCCGAAATAGCAGCACGAGAAATGGGGAGCCAGCACTTTTAGTTTGAGTTTTTGTCAATAAATGCAACCTCGGCAGATGGCTTCCTCTGTAAGTTATTGGAAGCCATTTGTGCTAAAAATATTAATCACAATTGATAAAACCCAATCGGTAGTGCTAAAATGTCAATCGCTAGCGATAAAACTTAAAAAAGGGAATAGTGAGTGAGACAATTGTGATAAGTGACCGCTTTGCAGCCAAATTAGCTTTATCGCGGAGCTTATTCTTGTGAAATAAAAAATCCACGTCCAACATGTACAAACAGACGAATTTAATAATCATAAGACTGCACCTCTGTCTAAAGCTTTTAAGAACAAAAACTTAATTGCATGAGATGGAAACTACATGCCAAATAAAAGTATAAAGGAATTAAAAATTTAGTGAAATGAGAGACAATGACTATATTATTTTGGTTGGGAAAGTCTTAGAGTATTATGTATCAGCTATAATATAACTAAAGATCAATTTTTGTAAGTCTAAATACTATTGTCGCTATCATTGTTACCAATATTATCACTATCACTACTACAAAACTCTTGCCATACCGTTCCCTGTATGTATCGCGTTTGGGTTTTAATTACCTGTGAGTTTTTGTATGTTTCATTGGCTGCGTTGTGTGCTTGAAGTTGATGTTCACATCGTTGTGTATTGTTACTTAATTTCCGTCGAGTAATTTGTAATTTTTTTTGTAGAAATTTAGTCTTGTGGATCGATATTTGTGTCCCCTCTTTAGAAGCAGCCTCTCCGTTTATAAATGCTTCTAAAAGGGATTTCGTTATTTTGAGGTTATTTATAAGTTTTTGTTCTCTTTTTTGTATTTTCCGACTCATGTCTCGTGCCGTAGGTGTGTGGAGATTTTAAATAAATGA